TCACCTGAGCCTTGGTTTTTCCCTTTCCCTTGCTTGCCATTTTCCGCCGAATCTCTACCACAGGCCTCCTGGGAGAAGTGGACATCTCACTTGGAGAAGTCCCTCTTTGACTTCTGGCGGTTGCCGCCTCGGCCAAGAGCCTTCTCCGCTCCACAACCTCCTCCTCCTGCTGACAAGCCCGAAGCGCCCGCTCTCGCGCCTCCTGCACCGCCCTCTCTCTCGCTGCTGCTGCCCTTGCAGCTTTTTCTTCTGCGGCCTTTTTCACTGCCGCAGCTGCCTTCCTTGCTCTAACCTTCTCCACTCTCTCCTGCGCCCTCCTAATTATATCATCCTCGTGAATGGCGGGGTCGGTAGGAGGCGGTGGTGGTACGGGTCGGGACCTTGAAGGGCCGGCGGTTGAGGAAACGGTGGTGGTGGTTGTACAGCTTGTCGACATCCTGGTGGACTTAGGAGATTTTGGAAAGTTAGGCCCTCAACGGCAAAACTCTGGGCCTTTTATATGGCAAAACTGCGCATGGACCAGCGAAAATTTTCCTGATGACGAAAAAGGATAATTGCCGATGCTAACGGGATATAAAATTTTTTCTCTGGTGACTAATAGTATTTCTTGGTACTAACGGCTTTCGAGGGCTCAAGCCTAAGAGGGGGATACTGTCAAGTCCATGCCTTGGGCCTCCATTCCGCCGCTCGGTATACCGAAGATACACCGTTTATTGTAATCGCTTCTTATTGTTCTTTCTCGCTACACATACCCTTTCGTTCTAGTCTCTCCTTATTGTCTTTTACTCTACCCTGCAGGTACTACTCGTATAGCTCCTAGTAGTTAGTCTAGCGCTCCGCACCGATGTGCCGATCCGTAGATATAAATACTGCCTGTACGCTACTGTAGTTCCTCAGTTTAATTATCAACTTAGATCTCCCTTCCAACTTAGCTCTTCTCTAAGTCTTCAGGCTCAACGCCTTGAAGTACGTCCTACTCGACCTTAGGACTTGAATGTTCTCCGGTCCGCTGCTCGTCATTGGCGATACCGCCGCTCCGACTTGGCTGCTACTTAGCTCCTCCCTCTATACTCTCGATCTCCGGGGACTAACGGCGTAACGGCGGTGTTGTTAATAACTTCACTACTGTCCCACTCGTCTTCCGCACTTAGACACCTTGTGGCCTGGCATGGTTATACAGTGTACATGATCTTAACAGTGGAGATTGCTCCTCTTGTTGTGAAGTTGTACCATCGTTATCAGTCATTTAAAACTAAACAGAGTGATGTATTGATATCATAATGGAAAGAATTTGTACAAAAAACGACACTGAGAGCTCAACGGGTGAATAGAAGTGATATCTGGAGGTTGTATTAAATAACAGGTCAAAATTCGAGGCCCTTTTGGAAGACCTTGCAGAGCTTATGCATACCTAATGTTGGGACATCCAAACATTCAGACATCACCAAAATCAGCACATTGAAATGTTGGAATGTCACTGATGTTGGGACATTGGAACTCATGACAATGCTGATGTCAGGGAGATCAGTATTGAGGGCTAGTGAGGAAGAAATTTTCATTTTAATGGTACATACACTAATCTGCAGGGGGTATCCAGGGTCCTCCCTCAACTAGTTGAACTCTTTTTGTCAACATGGATTCTCAGTGCACACTAAAATGAAAGTCTGGTTTAGATTTATCTTAGCTTGGACAATTCCTCCTGTGCATCACATGTGATTGCAGGCCACTGCACCACCGTGCATGGCAAAAACTCGGCTCCTTTTTTGGGGGTTATTAAATATTGCGCCTTAGAGGCGCCGACATTGAATGTTTTTTAAGAATGAAATAAAAGCAAATTTACATGAATGTATCTATAGAGTAACAGGGAGTAACTGCTGTGAGACGAGAAAAAATAATTGTGACAGAGTCACAGTCCCGTGATATCCCGTGCCGGTCACAAGAATTCAATACAATTCAACTCAGTGTTACATTTGGCCAAATAAGGCGAAACTACTGCCATAAAGGGAAATAATTTTTGTATGGAGTACCGTACATAAGGACGATACTTCCGTAAACTACAGCCTCGTAATTACAAGGAAGCTTCTAACAACATCAACCTGAATGATGTGCTAGAGAATCATAATGCCTTGATACCATCCATGCACAGTATTGTTGTACTTATTTCAAGATACTCTGGTCTAGAGAGCCAACTCAGACAACACTTGCCTCAGAATATCTGTGCCCTTTCTTCCTGGATCCCATTATGACCCCTTCCAAACCTTTCCTGAGTAGCACTTTTGTCAAGCCAGGCCTCGGCCGAAAAAGGCAGCAAACTTGTCGCGTTGCGCAATCGCAAAACTGAACTTCCACTCAATTGGTATTCAAAATTATTTCAACTTTGCAATTTCTAAGCACCGTCTGAGCCCAGAGCATTTCACGGTGATTTCACCAACTCACCTTCCCTCACCAGGACCCAGACTCCAAACCCCTAAGGAGTGAGAACCAAACTCAATCGAGATTTCAGTCTCCGACAAGCCACTTGGAAACGCAGTGACTACTATGGTTCACAGGGTACTTCCGTAAACAGGGTACTTCCGCATTTTCGAAAATCTCATATTTTGAATGTTTTAGGTTAATAAATCCTCTCAGACTTTTTATGTAGTACTTTCTAGGTTCTCTATAAACATACTGTACTATATGAAATAGATTGTATTCAGGGGATGCATATGTACAAGACCAAAATACTGTAATATACAAGCGTGACTTTAAATTGAAGCCTCAGGAACTGTACGAAGAGCTGGTAGATAACTGTAAAAATGACATGGGCATTAAGTAGAGGCTCTCATCAGCTAGCATAGCAAATTTAAAAGCAATCCAATGTGTTGTAGAGATTCGACAAGCAGATAAAGTGAAGAGGGTATGCGACGTGACAATATTTGATTCCAGCTTCATGCCGTAGCCTCGGCAAACCTCTCCAAAAACGTGATCAACACAAGTTCTGCCTCAACCCAGCATCAAATGGCCAAGTGTGCCAGAGTGCCGAGCAGCGGCATTGATGTGACTCAGTGTGACCCAAGATGCGGAAGTACCCTGTTTTTCCTCGGTCATGGTCCAACGCTCTGTTTATGCCTTATCTGCTTTAACATGTAAGACAAAAGACAAAAATAAGACTGTCTACTCAGATTTTTATTTACTCAAAAATTTAAGCCGTTATTCGCAATATTCAAGAAATCGGAAGTACCCTGTGAACCATAGTAAACTTGAAGTTTGACTTCACATCTGTTTTCTTTTTGCCCCGGGGGATCTCGATATTGAATATAACGACGGCTTTGAGACGCAATGCCGATAGTAAAAGTAAGATTTCAAAATGTGGTGGTGCATGCAATCCGAGTCATTCAATAATGATGGTCCAAATTTTTCAAATTCCAGGATGAAGATGTAAGACCTGGGTCAAAATGGGTCTTAGGGTAGGTTTGGTATACGAAGTTTTATGTTGTAGCGTGCTAGGAGCAGGCTGGAGCTCGAAGGGAGCTACGAGAACCGCGACCGAGGACGGGAATGACCTAGTAGTGCCTGGAACGACGAGATGATGACCCTTGAGGGGTTTCCTAGGAGGTCCAGGGAGGTCCCTAAGGCGTAGGGAGGTTAAGGAAGAGTGCGGGACCGTACGGTATTGCGTAGTAGGAGTTGTACTCGCTAGAACGTCAATATAGGATCGAGTAGGTCGTGTATGCAACTGGGTCTCGAGAGTGTAAGCTCCCGAGAAGGGATATGTCAGGGAGGGTAGGTCCCTGGGGGCTGAGCTTGAGGATGGACGTCCTCGAGTGTGGGAGGTGGTAACGGAGAAGCAATACGTAGTCCGACGTGAGGGGTAGCTTTGACGTTACCTAGATCGAGGTCCCGAAGCTTACGAAGTAGCTAGGGAGCTCTGGGAGGTTTGGGGAAGGGTAGCTCACCAAGACGGGTAGGCGTTGGGGAGCTTTAGTAATGTTCGAGGGAGCTCGGGGACTCACTCGGAAGGCTTAGACTTGAAGTGAAAGCGTATATTCGATCGTATAGATGATCAGAGAGACAATAGCCAGAAGTAGAGAGAAACAGAGGTAGAGAAACAGAGAGTAAAGAGAAATCCGTATGGTTAGCAGGTACAAAGGGACAGGGACTGGACCTATGCAAAAGGGTGTGTGTTCAAAATATACCAAGCTGGGGCTTCGGGACGTATCAGAGCTACTTAAATAGGTACAGGAAGTGATCAAGGGAACATCAGGGGCCATGAGGCGTGTAATCGAGATTAGTATCTTAATGGGGTAGGTGTAGGAGGGTTTCGACGCGTGTCGGGGGAGGTTTAGGAGCTGTCTTGGATAGGTACAGGCGTGGATCTGGGGAGGTACGGGCGTGGATCGGTGCTGAGGGGTGAGAGTGTTTGGCTGATACTGGGGCTGTCCTGGTCGTCACCATTAAGAGGGCTGTGGATAATGGTCGAGGCATGACAGAAGAGCTTGATGATGTGGCAATACCCCAAATCAGTTTAGATGTGGAAGTAAGTAACTTTTTTTTTCATTTCGGGGTCATGCTCTCACTCCGTTTGGACAGCTCAAACCATCCTCCAACGTTCCCTTACTCTTAGCCAAACAGTAAGCACAACTCCTCATTCGCTTCTTGTCCTCTCTTGTCCAACCTTTACTTATCCTTCAAGTAACGCTGAGTGGGATATCGAAGACAGAAAGCCTTTAAAAAAGAGGAAAATGTTCGATGGCGTGCTAATCCCAGCATTCAATGGGGAACTGCAACTATCGCCGAAGTTGGAAGAACAGTATGTGCACTGCAAACTTTACCCGCTAGATTTATAAGTAGTGTTTAGATCTCTATGCGTTGTCCCCTCCCAGATTCGGAATCATGCAACATCCAACTTAGGGCCTGGAGATACCGACTCAGAAACTGATGAAAAGCCTGATTTGACTAGTTTACGCGCTGAGGTATGTTCTGGCTTTCTTGAGGGCTCTCTATCTAAAGTCACCTCAATACAGGAGTATGAAATCAAGCCAAAAATCAAAGCCGAAATGAACATTGATTCCAACACCTTCCGAGAGCGTATTGCCAGAGTCAGTGCTCCTCGATATCCCGTAACCCTCGAACCGGAGAGTGCTCGATGGCAAATCATGTCTCGAAAATTCATCAGCAGAACTTACGGAGGCTCCGAGGTCTCAACATTTCCAATGATTGACCCCAAGAAGGTTTCGAAACACGGAAGAGAGTTTTGGATGTTTTGGAGTTTGGAGAAGCATCCAGATGCTCCGAAACGTCCAGGGAAGCCTGGAATCTGGTACGGCTCCAGTCCTATGGAATATACGGAAGATTTTGAAATTGTTCAACACGGATTCGCGAGAATGAACTCGGACAAGTGGTTGTATTTAGGTGATTATAAACAATGTGCCACAGAAGCATTGACTCAATGTGAATGGTTGCTTCAATCAGACAAAGTTTGTTCTCCCCGTGTTTTCGAACAAAACATGCAAGTTGAATTTCGAATTTTTTCCAGTTCCATCGTATCTGGACTTCCCTTGTTCAGAAAAAACCTTGGGCACGGCATGCTCGTGCAGGCATTCACCTCAGAAAAAAGTGGAGTCGTGAGCCTACAATGGAGGAGATTGCGGACGCTGCAATGACGGAGGACTTCAAGAATGTGACAATTGAGGAGATAAAAGATGCATTTGACCAAGGGCAGCAGGTATGTTGTTGCTTCACATATCATGAAACTCTATCACTCAGATATGTCTTGAATAAGCGACTAGGGATGCTCGTTCTCAAATGTGTTGGCTACGATAATGATTTTCAGAAGGAACTGATTGACAAATTTTCATCTTGGATTCCTCCAGCCAAGAAAACGGACTCAAAAGGTTCAAAAGCTACAAGCAATACGCACACAAAACAACAAGCGCCGAAAAGAAAACAGAGAGCAAAACGCGGCAAGAAGAAACAGATCGAGTCGGAGGATGATTCTGAAGGAAGTGGTAGTTTCAAGCAGGAGGAATTGACGGATGCCGATGGAGAGTGAAGCGATGATCATGATTACTGTGAATACATTGATATCTCATGCGAGTATGTGGAATTACAACAAGACAAATACTATATATGTAAATATTGCCCTTTCTAAGAATGTTTTACACTGTACACTGGCGTAGCGAAGTCGTGACCGTGTCAATCAATCATGTAACTTCAATTCAAAATATTGACAACTTCAACTTGAAGCATTCTGCACCCTTGGATCCTTCTCAGTCGAATCTGCACATTTCAGAACAGTACATATGCAAATTCACCAGTAAAAATTGCAATGTTGGAAGCTAAAAATGAGGGATTGGAAGGTGAGCGGGTGTTCCAAGTACAGGTGTTCAAACCCACGGAAACGCACCTCTTTGGTCAGAGCTCAGTACAAGTCAAACGATAGGCGAACGTATATCTTCCATTAAGGTTTGTCTTCCACGCAATTTCGAAATCTTCTTGTAATGATGTTCATTCAATGTAGAACGAATTGGACGAAGATACTACGGCACTTGACATTGACTTCGAAGTTAAGGTGCCCACAATTTATCCCTCATATTCTTGATTATGATATTGAGAGGTCATGCTTGTAGCCTACATCGTTGATACGGAAAAAATCCAAGAAACGGTAAAGCCTGTTCGAATTCCATAGTATCCGAAACTTCTGCCTAAAAGTCTGCCACTCAGCATGGTTGAGTTCGAAACTGACAATGGAATAGCTAATAACAAAGTGAAGATGGAATTTGATGGAGTTCTCCTTCCTCTCCCTTACCGAAAGCGAGTCAAATTGGAGTCTGAGAGTGCGCTGTATGTCCTTCGAGTTAATGACTCCTGCATGAAAGAAGTCCTAACTGCATACAGTCTTCATGCCTCCAACGCTCCCAAGATATTGCAGTCAAATTCTTCGGATCCTGGGGATACTGAGTCCGAGTCTGAAGAGAGCAAAGAGATGGTTGTGATAAAGGCTGAACAAAATGATGACGACGTGACTTTCGTCAGTAAAGCTACTGACTTGGAATACTTGGTGGGTGAATTTTCCATTTTCTCTGTTTATTTTCCTCATATTGTCCACTAGGATATTAAACCAAAGATCAAGGTCGAGCTGGAACTAAGTCGAACCCTTGTCCAGATCCGACTTGATCAATTCTCTTGTGCTCCATATCCCGTCAACCTGGATCGCAGAATTTCGGAGAGAAGATTTTCTCGTGAATTCATCCATAGTGTCTTTGGTGGCTCCCCTTATGCTGCAAATCCTCCAATTGGTAAAGAATTCCTTGCGCGTCACGGACGAGCGCATTTCATGTTCTGGAACAACTGCAAATACCAACCTAATGCTCCTGGGAATGTCGGTGAATCAGGTTTATTCTATGAATCACGGCCGTTCTCACCCAAGGACGACAATGAATTCATTCATCATGGCTTCTCATGCTTTGCGCCAAACGAGTGGTGGTATGTTGGAGATTTTCAGTGCTTTGCGGCTGGTTCATTGACGAAAGATGAATGGAACAAAGAGGTCCCTAAAGTTTGCAGCTTCCTTCTTTGAAAAACTGGAAAACTTATTCCTGACCCAATATATATACAGTTTCATAAATCGTGGTCCGATGTGTTACATAACGATAAATGGGGAAGGACAGTTCGTGTAATGATTCACCTTCGAACACAACTGGGCAGAGAACCTACGGAAGATGAGATCGAGGAAGCTCAAGGTCTTTCGGATGAATACAAACATATATCAGCTGAAGAAATCAAAAATGCTTTTGATCAAGGGGAACAGGTATGTGGTGGTTGCTCTATGTATGAGCAAAGCCTTTCCACTCAAGCTCATTAAATCTAGTGCCTTGGTATCCTAGTTTTGAAATGTGTCGGATACGATGAAGATCTTCAGCGAGAACTCGTGCAGAAATTTCCGTCTTGGGTGCCTAAAATAAAATCTGGTGGAAAGAAGGCCAAAGCTGAAAAGAGTTCAAAGCGGAAGAAAAATAAAACTCGAAAGGTCAAGGCGGTCAGAGAACACGATGCTATAGAAGAAGCCGAGCATGTTACTGGATCTGATGAAGCTTTCGATGGGACGAAGGCGCAATACAAACACACTGGGACCAGAAGTCGACCCGTCCGTACCGCATAGATCAGAAAACTGTTGTGGCTCTCGTTTTATCCTTATGCTTCAAGCTTGCTACTTTGAGCGTGTTGCTTGTTTGGTATTCCTTCTTGCCCATACTTTATAATGACTACCACAAATGACTCGATCAACTACACTACCACTCATTTTATACTAGGTAATCATCATGGAAGTATATACGAAGATTGCTTGCACCCCAGGTGCACGGTGCTATGTGCATGTAGTGGATAACTCTTTGCAATACTAGAGCAACTGAAAGACAACATCATAGCACATACAGACAACTTAAATGGCTTTCATGTCCTCCCAATGCCCCCACCATGATACCGACCTACTTGGTGAATCCTAGTAAAGATCACCTGTGTTGGCAATACTCACTACTTCTTAATTATCTCCCTGGCGAAAGGGTAAAGGAATACTTAGTACAAATGAAGATATCATAATAAGTGGCTCTCATTGTAACATTCCCGCCGAACAGCCTAAAGCCAGTGTCACATTTAACGAACAACGTACAAGCCCAGGACAGGGTCATAGACTATGGTCCCAACAGGGGAGCTGCGGCTGTAAGCTTATTGAAGCTTGATGGGCTGCTCATCCGCTTGAGACAGATGTATATAACTGTTCGAATTGGGGATTCAATTTCATTCCTGGCACCCAGCAATTTTGATCTTTGGCGACATGATTTTGCATCATTCCAGCAGTACAATCAGTTATCGTTTTCGTTCTTCATTCACACTTGCTCATCTTTACAGACCAGAAGCTGTAAGGGATCTTGAGCCGGCATAGAGCGCCAATCCTATAGTGGGCGTCACAGATACCGTGAGCGATGTAAATCAGCCACGCAGTTTGCGAAGGGAAGAAATTCGTAAGCTTGCAAAGGGAGAAATAATAGGGAGCCCCGAGTTCTGTGGAGTCCGGAAAACAAAAAAAAATATGGTATCTGAAGGGATGGCGCCGGGGGGTGGGGATAGAAACAGACGTCAGAAGTGGCCACGAGAGAGAGCTCAAGCCGATTAGACATGTACAGAGGCGTTGGTTTTCCTGAGATGAAGATATATGATATGTAGAACAAGACAAAAACTTCCTAACACATGAATTCATTTACGAAATCACCTTCGGTCCAATCCTCGGGGCGTAAATGTATACCTATATCGGCCTTGCGGTTGTACACCACTGCGTTGAACAACTATTTGTAACTCACCTTTAACGACCCACCCACGCCGCAATATAATCCTTTGTCCAAACTGGCTGGAATTCACCTATCAAAACAGTCTTTCGATCACATACTTCAAGTTTAGCCTACCGGTTGCTCCGAGGACATCCTTCATTTGGTGAGTTTTCGAATTAGAGCATTATACTGGCCATGGAGAAACTCTGACTCAAAAATTTCTTCTAGTTACGACGTTTTATCATGCCTAAATTTGAAGAAGAGCCTGAAGCAAATTCTGGACGTCCGTCGACATCCAGTCGGAGAGAAACTATTCTAAGTCTGGTGGAAATGCTACTTAGGCAGGGCGATGATCATGACTCAGGTGAGTCTACTTCTCCATATTCGCTTCTAATTTACTGATCAGTGCCACAGGCCTTAATCAGCAGCCAACGTTCGAGGATGACAAAGACGTTCGTGAGTGTTATGGTCTTTGTCACTTGAACTCCTTCTCAAAGACATTTCAATGCAGCCACTGTCGACGAACATCTCCAAACCGCCGGCGCGGAAGCTTTCAAGAGGTTCCAAAAGTACGTTTAATCAATTCTCATGCATGGATCGCTCATAACAGTTGTGTAAATGGAAGGAGGATTAACAACCTTGACAAAGAGGTAGCACCCAACCTCACTCACTACTTCGGTCAAGGATCTAATTTGCAGTGCCTCCAATAGTTACGAAATTTCTCGAATGCTGCCCGACAATTGGGAAGTTCCGCGGCCATCCTCTCTTCTGCTTTTCACCTCAGAACCCGGATCGCTCACATACTGTACTTGTACCGCTTGAATGCCGCGGATCTGTACCCTCGAAAAATCAAACCCCCGGTTTCTACCTCCTCTGGCGTAGATAATGATGACAAAGTTCAAGGAAATCTTCAAAAATCCAAACGAAGTTATCGCCTTTCCGGAAAACATCGAGCTCTTCCTCATGTAGCGCGGCCTACAGTTGACGCCAATATAGACTTAGAAGAATTCCCTAATCAGTTCGAAGCTCTGGCTATTGAGGTCACGACTTTTGTAAACTGTTTGAATGAGTTTCCCGAGTTCACAGACGAAGCTGTGAACGCCTCGATTTCAAGTTTTGAAGGTGATCTCAAGTACTGGGCAAATTGTTTGCATAATTATCGGGGTACGTGGTCCTTTACAGTAGCATTACAAAAGGGTATCTTATGTATGATTTAGGTCAATTCCGATATCCCGCTGTCCAACGGTACATTCAAGATCTCGCTCTTGAGATGGGAGAACACATTGATAGCATTACCTCTACACTTTCCATGTTCATCGAAGTTGGTGTACCCACCATCCGCTTCGCACAGAAACACGGTGCCACGAATTTGCTCAATCTTTCCACTGTAGCGACATTCTTCTCAGCTGTCACGGCTACAACTCTTCAATTTTCGTTTGCGCTCGATAATAGGACCAGTGACGCAGTTAACTCTTTCTGGTTCCTTAGTTTGGTCTTCAGTATCGCAGCGGCTGTTAACAGTTTGCTGGGATTGACTTGGAAACAGGCTATGTAGTAAGTTGTCTCTCTTTGCTTTAGCCATTTGTGCAAGCATTGAATCTTTGCCTGTGGGGATACAGTCGTTCTCCTGGGCACCGAGTTCCTTGGTGGGTTCTCATTTGGATCAAACGGTCTCCTTTAATATTCCTGGTGTTATCCGTTGCCTGTTTCTCAATCGGTCTTTGTCTTTTCACTTACGCATCTGGTCAAGTAGGTCTTTTTTTCCCGCTGATTGTGCAGTTCCTTATCGTTTCTTCAGAGTAGAGTGACATCAACCATTACGACTGTATTCACTGTCTTCACATCCTTCGGTCTAGCAGCCGTCTCGGCTTGGTTTGCTTCCGAAAGGTGGGCGTTTACTCAACATCGGGGAAAGAAATGGCTTGGAGATGTCCTAGTCGAAGTAAACGAAAAATTCTTACAACTTCCTGGAATCTCAGTCGTTACCCGGGGGCTACATTGGGCTTCCGAATGGGCTTCCATGCGCGCCGCAAGTGTAGGCACAAAATTACGTCGGGTTAAATCTATCACGAAAAGTATGATGTCCAGTGATGGGGAGAAGGCCAGTGATGTTGAGAATGGAATTCCTATGACTCTGTCGCCGGGAGAAGTAACGTTTTCCTCGGCGTTGAGTCGTCGTCGCCCTTCTGAGACAGGCCCCGCATCTCCTCCTGTGGATTCACCAACTGTGGCATCATCTTTTGGATCTTTTCCTTCACCAACGAGCCCAAATGGACCCCCCAATTCACCTGCCAGCCCGACCCCACTATCCACCGGAAGACAATTATGGAAAAATGCATTTCGTACGGTCAAGATGACCACCGCTCTATCTAATCCTATTTCGGCCCGTTCACCTCAACGTCAAAGGACCACTTCTTCAAGCCTACTTCCTTCGGATCGTAACCGTTTGATGACTGACCCACCAGTAAAAGCAATCGTCCGATCCCGGGTAGCTGCATTGGTTCCCAAACTCAAATGTTTGGAGCCGACACAGGATATGGCAGCTCATCAGGCGCTGGTGAGACATCTTCAATTCTCGCCAGATGGAAAGTTTCTAGCCACTTCGAGGTATATTTCCGTGATTTTTTCACAATCAACCTCTCACAGCGGAGTTGCCTACATAGCTGGGACCGGACGTCGGTCATTTTCCGTGTTCAAGTAAGCATTCTTTCCTAATCACTGCCGTATTTATCTGGCATCCGCTATGTAGAATTCCGTGGTTACACATCACCGCACACTAGCTCACGCAAAAGGCTTTGTTTCACAAGTTGCTTGGTGAATCAATTTGAAATCAGACTCACTACTTGTGAGTTTCCAGGCTGACTTAAACCTATGCGCTCAGGTCGCCCACTGGTCATCTTCTACTGACTAAACTCAATCGTGCCGTCAAGGTCTGGACACAAGTAAGTCACTGACATCGTTTTGCCGTATTGAAACTACTCATGTCCCACCGTTTAGGACGGTGTTTGCATGAGGACCATTGACCGACCAGCATATGTAGAGTCAATTACATGGTTTCCGGGTGGTGAAGGTGCCGTTTCGTTCACTTCCTACTTCTATGCGTCACCGAGATTGAAATTTCCGCAGCATTCTTGTCGGTTGAAGGAAGTAATGTTACAAAATTGGTACGCCCTGATGAGGACTTCACTAGTCTAGTTATGTATCTGATATGTGGACTATTCAAGGATTTGAAAGGCAAGGTATGTATTCTCTCGGATCTTGATGAAAATCCTCCGACTCACGCCATCCAGGTCCTAGGGACGTACGATTTCGGAAGTATGAAGTTGCAAGATGTTGCTGTTACACCTGATTGTACCCGCCTTCTCGGTGTTGGACCTCTGCTTGAATCCCCTAATGGTCTCCGTCCAAGTAAATCTCGAGCGGAAAAACGATTGACCGGTCAGTGATTCGCCATAGTGATCTTCCTTTTCTCATTATCCCCGCTGGCAGTGTACAATCTAGAAAGGAACGAAGTTGAACAGTACATAAGCTTCAAACATTCCGATACTTTTGGATCATGTCACTGAAACCTCCATTAGTGCGACGCCTGTACTCAACGATGTCAAGGATATCACTTTGGCAAGGAATACTCGTGCGGGCCTTGTGGCACTGGTAAGCTATGAGAACAAGGTATTTGCTTCATCCATGGTTCTTCAAGTTATATTCTGATCCTGCGCAAAGGCCCCTCCACAGCTATGGAAACTAGAAATGGTCAAAGACATTGCTAGGTTAACTCTTCGGCGAGTTAAAAATTAGGCCCCTAAGCCGAGCTATGACTGACTCAATGCCTCTATCAGGCATACGTACATGCCTAAATCCCAGGTAGATTTTGCAGGCCCTAGTTACTTTGGAGGCAAAAGTGACGAATTAGTCCTCTGCGCTGGGAAAGGCAAGCCTAGAAATATTCACATACCTATAGCAGCTGACTTGATTTTCTTTAGCCGGGGACATACACATATGGGATCAGGAATCCGGGGCACTGCTTCACCATGTTCGAGCCCAAGATCTCGGTGGGGACCTGACTTGCATAGCCTGGAACCATGCCGAAGACAATCCTTTCATGTTCGCCACAGGAAGTCATGATGGCGCTCTACGAATATGGACAAAAATTGAGCGACAATTGCAAGCTCATTCTTCCCCGGCTGGGCCGGATGATCAGCTTCCTTTCTTCACTCGCAGCTCCTCGCCATCTGAGATGGAGGGCATGCAGCGCACAGAAAGCCCATTAACACAACAGGAGTTCGAGTCGTCTTTTGCGAACAGTATGGAGAGCTTGACATCGTCCTCTGGTAACAGGGAGAGGGTTGTGGCATTTGCTACAACACATGCAGCCTCAAACTCTGGAATGTTATCGTAACAAAGGGAAGGAAGGATATATTTCAGAATTATCACGATATTATGGTTTTAAAGATACGAACACGTAGGCGTCAATGACCAGAGAATGGAGAGAAATTATATGCCATCGTAAACGGATTCGTCAGTAGACTTCCATTTTGAACGACGGCCATTACCAGTTGTACCAAGCCAATACAAAGGTTACTTCGTCATAACGATACTCAAAAATCATTATAAGATCGTTTGGAATTTTTGTAATGCTACAAGAACTCAATACGATGCAAGGTCCACGAACAGATTACAGATAAGCGAACAAAGAAGGGGTAATAACATATGTGCAGTCCGGATAATAAAACATGGTCGGCGAAGGGTTGTCGCAGAGGGCAGAACATCAAAATTTCGAAAGGCGGCAATCCAATCGAACGGGATGAACTGTGATTATTTTCCTGTTGCCTTCACGATGGAAACCACGATGATAACAATGATCACAGCAATTGCAAGACCGATGATAATGCGCATCTACGACGTCAAGGTTCGTAAAAATTATACGGGAAGAGACCGATATAGACGCACCTTCATATCCTTCCACCTAGCGACATGAGAGAATGGATCATGAGTAAACCCGGGTGATTCTCAGCTGACACATAACAATTTACATACCACATATTCTAACAGGATGGTCAGTTCCGTAGAATGTGATAAGAAAGTGAAGAAAAGGCGGCATACCTTTCTGACTCTGTTTGCTCCACGACGGAATCCTTGTGCAGATACTGCAAGGTTGTCTAAAAATCATATCGTCAGTACGCCGACAATTCCTGAGAGCTGCGCGACCCGTTCTGGCCGTGAACGAAATGAATGTACACTACAGCGCAGTGGAGTAGGGGAACCAGCGCACCTGTCTTATCCTGTAGCGAGTCCAACCTTTCACCTCTCTCTGCCACCTTCGAGATATTGTCTCTCATAATTTCAACGGTATCGTCAATTTGAGCCTGAATAGCAGCTGTCTTCGCATTTCCGCCCTGACTAGGACCCGAGGGATTTGAGGAAGAGCCATTCCTAGGAAGATAAGGGTCGTAAGGTTCGGACCTAGAGGATTTTGAGATACAGGTCAATGCCAAAAAAAATGTTGTTATGCTGTTGACTGACATTATGAATGCGTTGAGGTCTGAGCTTCACAGACTTGAATAAGAAAGTGCCACAGGAGAACCGGAAGTAATGAACTCACCGTGTCAAACGAAGCAGGAGTTGTACAAAGGGTTGAACAAGGCGTGCTGTCTGTCTGCTGGTGGTTGTTGACGAAAGTTGACGTAGAGCCCCCAGGTTTTCCCACGTACAGGATCTACTTCGCAACAGCTCATTGTCATCATTGTCAGTAAGCTGCAGTGCGCATATCTTTCAATCTTTTCTTTTATTCTTCTCATTTCTCAAACAAAAAAAAATATCACGAATAGATGGAAAAGTAACCAAGAGAAAGCGGCATTCACGGAATAGGTTATATGTGCTTTACACAGCCAGTGTGAGTGAGTCCATTCCCGCAGGAACTGAAATCCACCTAGAGTCATGTTCTCATGTTAGAGATCCCGGAAGTTTCTAGCTGTGATCTGACGCAGATACCGTACATCACACTCCACTTACTGTAATGAAGGAACATATCGATTATCAATAGTGGTGAGACGCATACAAGATGTTAAGACTTCGAATTACCTGACCTCACTTCCTCCTTATCAGGATAAGAATATTAAGCAAGAATGGTCCATGCGGCTCTTGCAAGGCTTTGAATCCCGAGACGCTCATACAATCTGTGTATTTCCTTTCAAAAAAACTGTTAGGTCTTGTGCTTCCTTTACTGATATATACCCGTTCTACTGTGGTCATTCGCCTGCTTACTGGATGTGAATCTACATTCCGACTGATCTGCTCTTGATTATTCTTTTATATGGTCGACGAATGTTCCATCCGGGTATTACAACGCAGTTATAACTATCCGGAGTCTGATCTATTGAGGACATCGATGAACCAAAGGCCAAAGGCGGAGTCTGAAGTTACAACCTACAGGGCATATGGTGATAATAACGCCTTTTGACATTGTAGTGCCCGCGCTCATGCGTCAAGGTAAATTGTCTTTTCAAACACGAGCATCCCGGAAAGTCGTCAAATATTCGTTCCAATTCTGATGCGTTCTTTCCGATAGTGGCCACTGACTCCCGCTGTCCCTATCGTAGTGCATCGTAGTGCGTTTTACTCTATCTCACCGCCGCCGCGTTAACCGGTCAACGCGCCTATTCCAACCATTCTATTGACGCTCGTAAATATTTGCTGCCCTATTCCCGTAGGCGCGCTCTCTGAATCTCAAAACATTGAGATGACAGGATACAGATCAACAGAAACAACTCTGATATGATCTGCGAGGTGTCGAGATATAATCTCGCGTTTTGTACCGTTAGTCCAGCGTATATGGTAATTTCAGGTCTGAGGACCGACAAGTATGGATTTCTTCAGATTTCTTTTCATCTTACAAGTCGTCCCTGTTCGGGAATTTTCTCCCGAGGATCAAGGCGGTGACGACTCATATAAGAAGCCTGTTAATTATCGTGGACTTTATCCGAGCTTTCCCATAATGATTCACTTGCAAGCTGGACTATTAGGACTCGTGAGCACCACTCTCTGACCCATTGGAATTATATCCTCATATCTGCTCACAGGCCAATCATTTGCTATTCCACAAGTATGAACCCACGGATGCAATATTCGGACAAGCTATTCTGTTGTTGCTTTTGGAGCCTCTGGTTCTCAGCTTCATGTCATGGACGTACTCTACTGGCTTCGTGAGATTGCCTCCACATCATCTGGTGTTCAGCGCGTACACCACCTTTTACGCTGTATTGATAACCTCTATCGTCCTTTACCGAGTTTCGCCCTTCCATCCTTTGGCCAAAATTCCAGGTCCTATATTGTTCAAAATCACCAAATTCGCACCTCTCTGGTATCATTGGCAAGGACAGCAGAGCTCACTTTTCATGTCGCTCCACGCTCAATACGGGCCTGTCGTCCGAGTTGGTACGCCACAAGCTCCTATGACATTCATGATTCAGACCTAAGATATTTTGTATATGTACATAGCACCAAATGAAATATCTGTGGCAGATGTTGATGCAGTAGGTGCAGTTCTCGGCAGTGGGGGCTTACCGAAAGGGGCAGGTTTGTGATATTACTTTGAATCTCCGTTTCTGTCTTACGATCAAATACTTGCTTTCATAGCTTATATCAGATTCCGTGTAGTGAGTGGACCAGAGAACTTAGTCACGATGAACGGCGATCCGCATGCAGCCCGCCGCCGATTATGGAATCGAGCTATGAGCACCGAGGCTCTACAGGAGTACGAATCTATCGTTGCAAGCCGGGCGCACGAACTGGTTGACGCACTGGATGCCCAGATTTCGACGAAAGGTGCAGTCGATATGACCCAGTGGCTTAACTTCTTCTCGTGAGTTGCGTTGCTCTTTCATAAATCGGCAGCTACATAATCGTCGAACCTAGATTCGATTTCATGAGTGACCTAGGGTAAATGAATATCACCGTACTTGCGAGATCTGGCTTTGATGAACTCCCGCTTTCAGATTTGCTGCGGGATTTAACATGATGAAGGAGGGTGACGTGCACAAACTTTGGCCTGGTCTTCATCTTCACATGAGGTATGATATCCAAAAGATGAGAGTTGGACTGGCATTGATTGTTCGTTGCTCACTGTTATCAGAGGTGTCTGCATATTGTCACATCTACCATGGATCCCAGACATTAGAAACCGTTTACCTTGGTTCACTATGCCTCTATGGCCCATTGCAAGAAAATGGTCTGCCAATCGTTTGCGTAATCCTTCTCAAAAAAAAGATATCTGGTACCATCTTGTAAGGACTTCACGAATTTGCATAGTGATGAGCACACGCTGATTAACTCTTGCCATTCAGATGGATGAAGCCGGATTAGAAAAAGTCAAACCGAGCCTGGCTGAAGTAGGCGCCGATGCGGTCCTCACTGTAATTGCGGGGGCTGACACTACTTCTTGTGCGCTCGCTGCGCTGTTTTGGTACGTTTGAAAAAAAGCACACGGATTCAGACACGGAACCAACTTCCAAAAATAGGCTTCTTCTGTCCCATCCGGAATGTTATAAACGCCTACAGCAAGAAATCGATGTAGTTTATCCTTCTGGTTCCGACCCTCTCGATGTATCAAAACATTCGCAACTCCGATACTTAGCTGCTTGCATGTTTGTGACAGCGCTATCTTCCGGTTTGAATGCTGAGCTAACATTACCTCGTTTTACAGCCAAGAAGCTTTGCGTCTTCTACCGCCTGCGCCCGTTAGTGGTGCAAGAGAAGTCCCGCACGGCAGCGGCGGCACAGAGATTGCTGGACAGTTCGTAAATTCTACGTCAACTTTTGTTTACCTACAGCTCACAAATTCCTCCAGCTTTCTCCCTGAAGGCACGCAAGTCTGGGCTCCACCAAAAGTCTTCCACCTCAATCCATCGTATTTCTCTCCTAGAACGGATGAATTTGTCCAGAGCGTTGGTTAAATTCAAAGAAAGACGACGACGAGGAGAATGTGTTTAAAAACGACACGAACGCCTTTCTCGCATTCTCTTATGGACCCGCAAATTGTGCAGGCAGAAACCTAGCAAGGCAAGAAATGATGATGGTTATGTCTATTTTATTGCAGACTTTTGATTTCCGATTTGCGGACGGTTTTGATTGGGAAAAGTGGCCAGAACGACTGACAACGTTCTTTGTGACCATAAGACCTCCGATAGAAGTTTCGATAACTCGTCGTGGGTTATAGTATTATTACATCGATAGCCCTGGCTGAGCCTGTGGACTGCAGCAGTCATTCTGATATGTCGAATACCCACATACTTAGAAGAACTCTGTGTAAATATACCTTGTTGTATAACTACTAGCTGTATCAACGCATGTCAAATATGGTTCCTATTTCTGCTCGAATTGAACTTTAAAGTCAATTCGCCAATGGCCACATCCATTGCCAACAACTTCAATGTCACTGTCAGTAGTCACACGCCTCCGGGCCTGCCAGATCTCCAAAGAACCATTTAACACCTATGAAAAAAGTACTTAATGTCAGCGCGGGTAAGGTGAACATCGACTCTGAATCAAATTCTACACTGACCGATCGAGTACGATCTACAACTACCCACTTCTCCCGCTTTCTGTGTGAAGCATGACATCGACAGTTTCCTGCATGGCTTCCACATTCCGATGAATCTCCCTCAATTGCTCCTGCCTCACCAACCTTGCTCTTTCCATATCGACTAAAATCTGGGAAGCTGTCTGCTTTATCTCTCCCAGTGCCCTATCAGTAGCGGCAGAGCTTTGCCTTATCTGTTGACTAGCCCGTTCGAGATCGTTGTAAAATTGCATGGCAAGGTAGAAGTTAACGAAACTAAAAACGTTGACACGAGGTGTTCACATAAATCATTGCGATTACCACATAGGATTCACACTAGTTGCAATTAACAACCATGGTAGAACCCAGTAGAACATGAACTGGAATCGTATGCGACGATGATAAATAGAAAGAAGACACTTGCGTCGTTGTCCGGTTTAGAGGAGATAGTCGCATGTTGAGCATGTGTAACGGAAAACGAGAGGACATCATAAGTGTCAGAGCATACAAAGGTGAATAATCAACGAGGACCAAATCCTTTATCGTCCACCCTTTCCACCCTTCATCTGTTGTTTGGATACCTTTGGTCCAGATGCACCACTTGGGCGCGAAGCAGGCTGGAAAAGATATCAGTGAAAGAAAGTGGACAAGAATCTGATATACACATACTTTGGCTTTCTTGTTCTCCTTCTCCTTTTTCTCAGTTTTGGCTTTAGTGATGGCAGCTAGTCTTGCCTGAGAACGGACAGCAGCAGTCTGGTTACGTCTGGCAGCAATGGTAGCAAGGTCGGCACCGACAATGCCTCGCTGGTGCTTTACAGTCCGGCGTGAACGCTTCTTAGCAACTTCCTCCGTGATACCCTTCTTGTGCATGCGCCTGTACACCTGAGTCCAGGCGATCTTACGTGGATTCTTCCTCTGCAAGAAGAGAGATGCATTTTTTGAGCTGGCGAAACGGAAGACCTGCAAGCAACGATTAGGCGGTCGGTATTTGGTAGATGAAGCATGAGCGTACTTTACTGTCCCCACGAACGAAAAGTTTACCCTTTGAGGGGTAGATACGGAAACCAGAAAAGGAGTCGATCTCGACCTTCTGCACTCGATACATCTTGATTAGCAGGAAGTCTCCCAAAGATGAAGAAAGACTCACCATCTATAATGGAAATACAAGACGGAGAAGCAGTCAGTGCAACTTTCATACAGGAAAAGCTTCCCAGCCCCCGCCCAAGAGTCATCCGTTCATTCCAACTTCATCCAGCAGTAAATCTCGCTTTTGAATCACGAATTTGACACCAATATGAGGCCAAGGGATCATAGAATGTGTTTGAAGGGGTATTGTGGCATGAATTCAAGACAATTACCTTGTGTCTTGAGGTTTGAAGGAGTTGGAAGGCGGTCGGTTATTTTCAAAATTACAATTCGTTCGGCCGGCAACGGAAATCCTCGCGCTTCTCATTTTAAGCGCGCAAGTACATATCGTTCTTCCTCTGTTTCGGACGTGAAACCAACCGAAATGTTGGGTCACACTGGCATATCTACTGGGATATTTACACTAGCGGATTTGCTGTACACTGGAACTGCTCACCGAAATTTCTCAAACAGTCCCCAGTCCGTCACGCTACGTATTATTGGACTCTATCCAAGGGGTTCTATACTCCGTTTACTAAGTGGATCGTCTTACTCTAGTTTTATTGATTTGATTATCCCTATATACAGTGATCTCCTAGACAGTGTCATTTTAGTGGACCTACCAACGTTTCCTGAGAGGCGCGTCCCAGAACAATGGTGATGTATCACTTGTTTTAGAGGATTCAGATTCTGCAGGCTGCCGCAGACTCGGTATGTCCTATGAACTGCACATTACCGTTAGAGTGTCTTACACAGTTCATGGGACCCTGATGCTCATTACCTTTTGCTCTTTCGGTGAGGCTTCGTCCTGGACAGTTTCCTCCCTCCCGACTTAGAACGAACACTAGGACAAAAGTATGACTAGTTATTCATTGCAAGCATTGTCGGACTGCAAACAGGTTTCAAAGAAAACTCAACCCGATGATGAAGCAACATAAGCGAAGAATAAATTTAATTTTTGCACGTTCTCAAGTAATATACACTAAGGTCTTATGCTATACTAAGCTACAGACTGTCAATGAAGAAATCAAGATCTGCAAAATAAAAAGAGAGTAACTTGGTGAGAAACTGACATCGACCGAAAAAGACAGGAAATTATGCAGTCAGAGATACGTGAATTCAATCAAAGCCAAAGCTCAGAAACAGCTTCTAGTTGATAATTATTTCGAACAGTATCATCACCAAAGAAAGGGAAGAAATAGACAATGACAGGGAGAGGGACTCACAAGAGTGGTTCGACCAACAAACATGGTGGTATGTATGAAGAATACTAGCAAAAAAAACCCCCCGATGAGAGTACTCTGTAACTTATGGGATGTCAGCAAATGAAAAGCAAAATGAAAGGGGTGAAATTCAGAAGGGTTGCCCGAATGATTGAGCTGTGGCGGGCACTTTCGGCAGTGATAGTACGAAGACCGTCGTGATAAACATCATACGAGAACAAAAAAAAAACATCTGTACTCACATCCAAGACGCGAAGCACATGAAGATTTATAAGAAACGCCAGAGTGATATCTGAGAGAAAAGTAGTCAGCAAATGATTCGACGGACTGCAGGTCGAAGATTGGCTCAGTGTTTTTATAAAACAGCCTTGGAATTTTCGTCAACAAGCCCGGAAGCTTGGTCAGGCGGTAACTCCATTCATATCATCACGGAATAGAGACGAAGAATATAAAGATGCTCACAGGAGGGTGTTCAGTGATGTGGTGGGATTGCATATATGCTTTAGTGACACCGACAAAACATCTGGAAATTGATTTAGTAATCATGGAAGTTCGCGGACAGCGAAGAGAACAAGCACAAGGATTCAGGGAAGATATGTTAAAAGCATAGGGCCGAAGACGCTCATATACTCTAGTTTGAATGTGTTTGAATCATCATAAAGAAACGACGACGGCGATATGAACAAATAAAGGACGAACAGACTCACCGACAACATCGAAGTAAAACGACTCTACGTTTTGAAATGTCCCCTCCTCCAACTATCTTCCTCAAACTCCGCGTTATTTACATTTGGGACCGTGTCAGTACTTCCTCCTTCTCCCCGAGTAAAAGGACCTAAAGAAACAATGGGTATTCAGCGTCCGCAAACACAAGAAAGACAAAACCGATCAGCGTAACTATGACAAATAGTTTTACACTGCGTCAAAGAATAGGTAGCTCTCGACACTCAAGAAACATTGGAAATTTTCATCCCTTCGAAAGAGTAAAAGCACAAAACTCACCCGATTGGAATAACCATCGTGGTTGTGGAGGAGAGCTGAAAAAAAAATTTATGATCGTGTCACGGCCTAGTTTAGGGCAGGCTGAGGTTGCACCGCGCTGCAAACGCGCGCTTATAATGTTCCAAAAATGCTCATGTCCATATTAAGCGCTCAAGCCGGTCCGCGTCGGAAACGGCACTCATTCTTCTCACGGTCCATCACAACAGAATCCAAAGCGACCTCGTCGACACACCTCAAGTACCTCAAGACTAAGAAAAATGGTTAGTATATCCCTAGATCTCTGATTCTAGTCTTGTCTCTGGTGTCCCTTGATATGCTGCTGGCTCTCTGGAAGAAGGAATTGACGGAATTTGGGCTGGATTGAAAAATCTGTGGTCGGATGAGCTTTTACACTTGGATGTTTGGGATATTTTCGCATCTTCTCTATCCTTCGTCGCAGACATAATACTGATGCTATATTTTTTTCCCTCTCTTTTAGACCAAAGGTTCGTTCATGGCTCGCCCAAGGAACTCGCTGATATATATTTTGCCTGTCGATTTAATCTGAATAGGAACCTCGTCTTTTGGGTGCGTTCCAATCTATATTGCAAGTTTCCCAATGATAATTGATATGTCTCACTTCTTCTAGTAAGCGACACACAAAGTCGCACACGCTTTGCAGGCGATGCGGTAACAGGGCTTTCCACAGACAACACAAGAGTTCGTCATTATCCTTCATCAGTCCGTCGAATGATCATTCATATCTTCATATTTCCTCTCAGCCTGTGCGTCTTGCGGCTATCCTTCGGCAAAGATTAGGTCTTACGAGTGGGGGCTAAAGGCAAAGCGCAGAAAGACTACTGGAACTGGTCGTATGAGGTATCTGAAAGAAGTGTCGCGCCGCTTCAAAAACGGATTCCGGTAAGCGTTCATTTTAATTCATTCACAACACATTTCGTAATCGACTATCTTCAATCGCATCTAGGGAGAACACAGTGGCTAAAAAACGTTCCAAGCCGACTGCTGAAGCATAAGCAGCTCGCATACATATACACTCTCTTCCTTCGCAATGTCCATGTATTCGTATACTTCCATGCTATGCACCAACTGCCCATGCCCACATTCGTTAAACAAAATGAGCCCCTTGGCGAAGCTCATGCTGCGGGTGAATGGAGGTCTGCAAGCACAAGTGTAAAATGCGATTATGTGATGCTCTAGGTGCAGAAACGAGCATTGGAAATGATAATTTATCAGTAAACTGCTTACAGAGCAAGAAAAAATGATTTATGCATCCGTTCTCATTTCTCTTGAGATTTTGCATTCAAAAAGTCAGCTTCCACTGACTGCTTCGATTTGCATTTATTGACAGAACAAGAACCGGAAAGGAGAATGAGAGACGAGTACTCGTGTAACTCTGAAACGCCGAGAACTTTTGGAGGGATTGATTTGAATCGGCAAATGATATGGTCGTACGTACGTTTTAGGTGTATTTTCGGGCGATGGGGGACGAGCGTTTACCTGTGAGGGCTCTTCACCCCATAAACAATATCTAACCCATCACCCAGCATAAGAGTTAAATGGAGATTTGGGACATCATCATACACTTGAGGTCTTCAGAATCACTCCAATTATTCTCTCGATTAGTTCACTCTACTTTTTCTTTTTTGACCTGGACTATCGAGCTCGTTCATAATTACACCTTTGGGCTTTCAGAATAACTCTTAATAGCGTGCCGTCCGAGATTCAGATGGTCTAAACAGGCCGAGGCGGGGTCACGGCTATGATACTAGAAATAGAAGTTACGCTTGCTTCGCTGCATTTATTTCGCAAGCTGCACAAGAGTGAAGAAAAATCGATCAATTCAATTCTTCCTCCGGGGCTCTGTAGATACGACTTGAACGCGGTTGAAAAGCTGTTTAATGTTGGATTAATACTTCGTATGCTTGCTTTCTTGTCGTATGCTTGCTTTGGTACGTGTGACTATTATTCCGGCCACCGAACTCGACCACTCCTATTTACTACTCGATCACCTTATATACTTGATACTGCCGTTTGAACTCCCTCAGTTGATAAGGAAAACCTCAATCACCTTATATACTTGATACTGCTGTTTGAACTCCCTCAGTTGTTTTCCTTATCAACTGAGATTTCATTCAACAGATTATGAGACTGGAGTTCAACTGAGCTTAGGAGACAAACTCACATATTGATTGCAGTCAGTTATTATCCTCTATCTTGGAAGCTATGTCCTCCACAGCTAGTTCGCTGTCGATCCCGCGCTTCCCCGAATCATCTCAATTGGCTGGCGAGTGTTACGATCACTTCTTTTTCATCTTATCTTTTCCTTATCTTGTCTTATCTTTTATCTTTTGTATTATCTTCTATCTCTCTTATCCTATATCTTGTCTTATCTTGTCACCTGACCTATTATTTATGCTTACTGATACAACATGCGCTTTTCATTTACTTATATTAAACACAGCAGTCTCACAACACATATACAGCATGACGATCGAGCTTTCATTACTTACACATTGCTTTACTTATGTTCTACTCATGTTTACCACTAACCCAGGGCGTTGGGCATTAGTAGGGCGGAGGGTTGTTTACTTGTATATAAGCTGTAGTTACTTGCTGTATTTCCTTAGCTTTGATCTCGTCTATTCTACCTGGTTTAGCCCAGAACTCTGCTTGCTTTATCGCTTCACTATCTGAGGTTTTCTTGAGTGTGACACCTGGTGACACCCGTTACTAGAACCAGTCGCTGACAGCGAGAATACCTGGCGAATTTTCAAAGACCAAGTCCTCGCGCACATTGAAGTTAGGGAATTGGAAGGATATCTTGATGGTACCATTATTCGACCTTCTGCTGGTGGCTATGTCTCTACATCTACGTTGTACCCTCCTGCCTCTACAACAACACCAGCATTTAGCCCTACCCTTTCCCACATGAATGGCGTCAACGCGATAGGATGGCAGCCAGCATTATATATCTCAACATTGTTGATCCCGTTGGGCTAGGTGTCGAATGCGAAAAGCCTGCGTCATATCTGGGCTGAATTAAAGAAGAAATATGAGAGACGAGACGAGATGCGGGTACATCAGGCCGATACCAAACTTCGGTCGGCTCGATTTGACCCCAGTAATACGACGATTGAAGAGCATGAAAAGACAATGAAAAATCACCTTAAGGAACTCCGAAACTTGGGTGGTTCTTGCCTCGACTCCCAATTCCATCTCATTGTAATCGCCTTGATGCCTAAATCATGGAGAGATCTCTTAATCAATGTCAAGGGAATCTCGGGTGACAATGCCTTCATTCACCTTCGCCAAGTCTATGACAACAAGAAGGAAGACGAGGAGGATACCCGACAGCGTAGTCAGGTCCGGGCTCTCATTGCTCAGGAAATGGCTTCTTTCCACTCTGCAAATACTGCATCTGCTCCCAAGAAGGATCACCCTATGTGTACAAATCCTAATTGCCCTCCTTGTCGACGTCGTACTCATACGGTTGACAAATGTTGGGCACCCGGTGGCGGTAATGAAGGGGGGGACCTAAGAAAGCCAAAGCCTCAGCAACTCAAACCGCAAATTACGCTAGTGACGGTGGAAATCGCACCATCATGGAACTTTTTGATTTGTGTACATCGTCACCAACACCCATTCTATCTACCCAACTTCCTAATGCCCATACCTGCAGAGACTGTGAATCAGTATCAACAGGGTATGGTGCAGATAAAGAGGTTACATACCATGTAGACACGTTTAATTCCTCCATTTCCGACTCGATTCCAAACTTTGATGAATATACTGCTTGTTCAGCCCATAATGCGAAATCTTTCCTATATGCTGCATCCAAACCTCAGACACCCCAAACTTTTCTCGACTCAGCTGCGAGTGATCACTTCTGGGTTTGAAGAGCTGACTTTATTGAGTATGAGAATTTATACGGAAAGGCGGGGAAATCAGCCATTGCTGGAAAGGCAGGGGAGTTTGAGATTCATGGCAAAGGTATCGTAGAATTCGAGACGGCCGTTAATGGGATAAGGAGGAAATGCCAATTGAACAACGTCTACCATACACCATCCTTTCATCACAATCTAATTTCATTAAGGACATTAGATGCTAAAGGAATGAAAGGGGAATGGGGTAGAGGATCACTCACTGTACGAACTGCAAATGGAAGTATCGTTATGCAAGGCGAAGGAAAGGGAACGATGTATGAGGTACAAGCTCACTTCGAGCCCTCATTCGCAAACTTCACGAGATCACATAATAAACCCGTCGACATCCATACGTGGCATCGCAGACTTGGGCATCCCGCTATTGATCGAATCCTCCAAATGCACAAACTAAATCTAGTCGATGGCTTGCAAATCACTTCTAAGAAAGTGGCCGGTAAATGTGAACCATGTATTTTTGGCAAAGCAACTCACCGACCGTTCGATGAGAAGCTTACACACAAAACCAAGGTTCTTGAATGTATACACCTGGACCTTTTTGGTCCAACTCGAACACAGAGTATCGGCAGGGCTACATGGATGTTTCTTGCAATGGATGGTCGTTCCTCTATCAAGGCCCCGACATTTCTAACCAATAAGCGAAAGGAAACCATTTTGACAGCAATCCACAACTGGCGTATGATGGCTGAGCGACAAACGGACTTGAACGTCTTGATATTCCGGATAGATGGTGGTGGAGAATTCGATAATGGGTGGTTTAGGGATTACTGTCTCGAAAACGGTATCGCTATCGAAATGATACCACCTAGATCTTCGTCACCTAATGGAGTAGCTGAGAGAGCAAACAGAACTTTTCTTGTCGACGCTGGTTTTCCTCCCTCAATGTGGGCTGAAGCAGCACTTACCTTCTGCTATGTGAACGTGTTTATCCCCTCCTCTCGTTTCCCAGATGAAATACCAATTGAAATTTATACAAAGAAACGTCACGATGTCTCTCATCTCCGACCTTTTGGTTGTAAGTGCTGGGCGACACTTGATGCAATCCAAACGGATGGAAAACTTGGCGTTAGAGCAGTCGAAGGTCGATTTGTTGGTTATATTGGAAGACGGGGCTATCGAATCTGGCTACCACAGACCAGAACTTTCCATGAATCCCGCAGTGTCGAATTTGAGGAGGGCGACCCTCGTAGATCTACCCCCGTGGTACCAGATGAAGTTGATGGTGAGATGCTTGGTGATGTCGACGTCGGTTCGGCTCCAGATGCCGTGCCTGTTGCACCAGCTAGCGAAAATCAAATTCAGCATTCAGATATTTCTGTTCCCTCAATGCCTGCTACTCCGTCTACTCCTGATTATGAAGGACTTCCAGAATTATTTGCACCTCAGCCTCTTCAGCACGTACCAATACCTATTCAGCCCATTCATGAACAAGACATTGGTCCTAGACGCAGTACTCGTATCCGTGGACCATCAGCTCGTCAACTACAGCTTCAGGAGTCGGCTGAACGGGAGCATAGTGCTTTCGAACGAAACCTGGCTTGGGCCCAGGACTCCGATACGGGTATAGACGAACTTGAAGAGAATTCTCTAGCGATGATTGCAAAGAGTCCTTTTGCTTTCGCTGCTGAATTGAGTGATAAATGGGTCCCGAACACATACAAACAGGCGATGCAGCGTCCCGAACTTTGGCAAGCCCCGATGCAGGCTGAATACGACACGTTAATCGAAAAGGACTGTTGGACATTGGTGGACCTACCTCCGAATGCGAATCTTACAGGCGGGAGATGGGTCTATGCCATCAAATGGTCGAAAGATCGCGAGGTAGCAAAATGAAAAGCACGTTATGTAGCACAAGGCTTTACGCAGATTGAAGGGATTGATTACGACAAGACTTACGGTGCTGTGGCACGTATGGAGTCCATTTGTATAGTCCTTGCGATTATCGCAGTCCTAGGCCTTTTCATGTTCCAGGTTGACTTCAAAGCTGCTTTCCTTAACTCGCCTATCAATCACGATGTGTATATGAAGCAGCCTGAGGGATTTGTCAAGGAGGGTGAAGAACATAAAGTGTGCAAGCTCAACAAATCAATCTATGGGACTATGCAAGGTAGCCACGACTGGCAGGACACCTTAGGCAAAGGATACGAGGAGGATGGATATATTGCTTCGAGAGCCGATCCCTGTGTACGTTACCGTCGAATCGACGATAAATACACTCTGTCTACTACATATGGCGACGATGTGAATGGGGCTTCTTCAACAGAAAGCGGTAGGAAGAAGGCTATTGCTGATCTAGGAAAAAGATGGGAATCGAGTGAGGTTAATTCGGGCGTACTCCTAGGAATGACAATTTTTCAAGACCCGATTTCTAAATCCATTACTATATTGCAAAAGGCATATTTCGAACGTATGCTGGAACATTTCGGATTGGAAATGGTCCGTATCCGACACACCCCATTAGATCCTAAGATGAAAGTCACTGAATCTCCCAATCCACTACCCGAAGATGACCGCAGGTTCATGTCGAACAAACCTTACCGTTCGTTCATAGGATCCCTACTCTGGGGTGCTTGTTCGACAAGGCCGGATATTGCATTTGCGTCGAATTTCCTCACTCGATTCCAACTTAACCCCGGTATTATTCATTGGAAGGCTTGCGAATGGCTAGCAGGTTATATTTGGGGGACTATCGATTACTCTATCACCTATCGAGCTCCTAAGCCTGGTGATGAACGCCTTGGCTTTGGCCTTGCTCCTTTCGGATACTCGGACAGCGATTGGGCTTCGTGCTTAGTAACTCGTCGATCCACTGCAGGCTATGTATTCTTCATGGGTGGTGCTCCGGTGTCTTGGGCATCAAAGAGACAGGGATCCGTGGCTCTATCTACAGTTGAAGCAGAATATATTGGTCTCTCGAAAACCTGTCAACAGGCGTGCTGGCTACGCTCATTCATTCAGGAGATTGATCTTCCACTCAATGGTCCTACGATTATTCATGGGGATAATTTCGGTTCAGTATCACTAACGGAGGAGCCCAGGAATCATTCCTTGATCAAACACATCGACATGCATGAGCACTACATCAGGGAGAAGGTTAAAGATGACAGCGTGAAGATTGTTCGGATCCGTAGCGGTGAGAATGTTGCCGATATTACGACAAAAGCTCTTTCAGGACCTATCCATGCCCGAATAATTCAGATGCTTTACCTTCAGCATACGCAGTAGGGGGGGTGTTGGATTAATACTTTGTATGCTTGCTTTGGTACGTGTGACTATTATTCCGGCCACCGAACTTGACCACTCCTATTTACTACTCAATCACCTTATATACTTGATACTGCCGTTTGAACTCCCTTAGTTGTTTTCCTTATCAACTGAGGTGAGATTACTTATTTTTCTTTCCTTCATCTAGCTTTACTAAAGTACTATAGATTTCATTCAACAGGTACATAGAAATGCTATACAGTTGTTTTCCTTATCAACTGAGATTTCATTCAACATTTAAGCCAATGTGAGGTAGACAGGAGAGCAGGTAGCGCGATACCGAAGGGGTCTCCAAACGGCACTGTTGGGAGATACTTTCCCTATTACTGCCGATTCATTCCGGACTCACGTGACTTCACTTACTTATATTCTTTTTCGCACGTTCATCCCTCAGTTTCTACTTAGTACTTTGTTGGTTCAACACTGAGGACTTCGATTGTATCGCTCTTCATATAGATATTTGACCTCTAAGAGGCACTAACGGATAATTCATGCAAATTTGAATGGACTCCAGAGGATTTCCATGAATACTGCGAGGAGGCAGTGCAATGGGGTATACTGTCGACGTCAGTGATATCGGCCGGGCGCAGGATGCAGATGAGTGGGGAAGAGATACAGAGGTGGGTGGGGCGTTGCTGGTGGTGATATTCACGAGAATCGATGTTGTGGATCGAGATGTGATTGAGAAAAGGCTAGGACAGTCGTTCAAGGAATGTTACCCCAGTTACAGCAATCATCTTCATCACCGTTAACGACTCCTCCGACTCCTCCTCACTTGCCTAAACTCTCCACTCCTATCGCTCACCGCCTCCTGCAACCTCCATCCGCCCAGAAGCCTCTTCCCCTCCAATCAATCGGCAATATCGTGAAATTCAGTATGGAAGACCTCCGTGAATCATTCCTCCGAGTTGAAGAATTCTGGTACGAACCAGAGGTCGCCTAAGCTTGTGGAGGTTGGATTGAGCTATTGATCGTGGCTGTAGAACAGTACGATGGTTCTGTGATCAAATTGGTGAAAGATGCGGATTCGCCGGAGGAGGCATTCGTCGCAGGGATTTCTTCTACTTTCTCCCATAGATCCTCCTGCATCTCCGCCAGATCCTCCTTTGTCTTCTAAGAGCAACTGGACCATCTAGCGCGAGCGTGATATATGGAGGATCTACCTCGTCAATGCCCGGGATTATCCCAACAGGCTTACACTTACCCAGGCCAGAAGTTGTTTGTCCATTACACGTTATGATGATCCGTACTGTGGTTTCTTATCGTGGAGCTTACTGTCTATGAGACGGTCGTGTCTCGGATGCGTAGGCTTATGTAGAATGTTCAAACGAAGGATTCAGGAACGGGTGGGTCCCTTATGGCCTACATCAGAGATCTTGGTCAACGAGGAGGGGAGAGAACATAAGAGTATGGAATATGTCTGCGGATTGGAACCCGGAAGAAGAGTATGCATGTGAGGATGTGAATGTTTCTGGGTACGGTAAGCATGCAGAGGAGGCGGAAATGAACAGGACCAGTATGGACATGACGATGAAGCTCCATTAATATTAGTGTTATTACTAAAGGCGACGAGAACGAGCACTTGGACAATGGCTGGGGAAGGAAACAGTGCGAATGCGAAGTGGTCTCTGGATCTTCGGAATGGGACTTAGGATGGTGAGAGAGGAGTGGAATTAACGAACAGTGGAACACGTGGATTCTGACTGGGAAGAAGAGGGAGAAGGAGAAGGAGGACATCACCCCAAGTTGCTGGAGAGACCGAACATGCAAAGGAATATATGTAAGTAACATACACGGTAAGTGAGGACGGACGTTCGTTTTCTTTCGGTGCCTTTGTCCCCTCTCATATTTCTCAGACGGGTTGAAATGGAGATGTAAATATAAATGAGAAGGACAATACGGATAGGGCCTCTTGATTAGCGGGTGATGTTTTGGTTCTCGGGGATTTTCTTTCTTTCTTGGTCTTTTGAGTTTTCTTTTGAACCTCCTCTTAGGCCGCCTTACGCTAATCGGAGATGGATAGAAAGCAAGTAAATGGAAAAAAATCCAATATTATTCACCTATTTGACCATTGTACGCGATCCGTAGACTACTGTAGACTAGCTATGAAATACGTCCTACCTCGAACGCTACTGTGTTGGAGTCTGTTCAGACTCTGCTACATGATGATATTTACCTTCAAGCAACCATTCTACAGCCATAACATATTGACTGCTATCTGATCCCCTCAGAGCTTTCATGGCCAGGTATATTTTGAGCCATTCCCCCAAAACACCCTGAGCCAATACTTGTCCCTCTGGGCCCTTCATCATTTGCATGCAAATCAGGGCAACAGTGATATAGTCCAGGTCATCATTGATAACCAAAATATGAGCCCATGAGAACCCGTACTCTTCGAGGAACATGGCCTGGGTGTGCGAGAGCAACTTGTCAGCGTCACCAAACGTATTGACCAATTGTTTCTTCGCGGCATTGTTGCGGTCGAAGTGAGCTACAAGGCTTGAATCCCGGCCCGGACCCAATTTGATCAAGCGACCCTGGTCGATTCTCGGAGTGTGGTGACTTTGCGCAGTTTCGGAGACATCAGAGCGCGGAATGTCTGACTGTTCAACAATGACCTTTTTAGTGCGAGTCGCCGGGAACGGTCACGTTGGAAGCGCTGAAGCCAACGATGGTGCCAAAGAAAATGGTGAATTTTAGGTCTTTTTTAAGGAGACTCATGATTCTAACGTTTGCGACCATGTATTTTTCCTCTTGACCTGGTTCTCTGCATCCAAGCCTGATGACCAGATCACCATTTTTGGAGGTTTCTGTAAAACTACGTATCAGGGCTGCAGCTGACAAGAAGTGTTGCTTCATCTCCTGACGTGGACGTGTAATTTTGGGTTGATCTCCCCCACTCCGTTCAAGCAAATGAGGCACAGCGACCAAGGGACTACTGGTTACCAGAGACACACCGAGGAGAGCAGCGAAAACGATGTACAGATAGAATATTTGGCAAAAGGCTGAGGATCGTCGAAGGAACATCGTGTCGAATCTGAGTTTTTGAGAATATCATCTCATCAGTTTACGATTGCAAAAAAAAGAAAATTGACGATGAGAAAAAGGACGAAAGAGGTGCTTACAGATAGTTAGTTTGGAGGTTACAATGGCAATAAATTTGGCCTGCAGATTTATTGCTCATGCATAGGTTGTCGATTTTCTTGGGTTGAAAGACTAGTTTGGAAAATAAAGATTAATGAACAATACAATCGGAAAAAGGAAGAACAAAGACACTTGCACAGTGCTAACGCTGACCGGTTGACCAGTGGTGTTGAGCGTCGGATGTCCAAATCGATTCCACCTTATTTTCACCTTATACATAGCTATATTTGCCTCCGGGCTCTGAGTCGGAGTCCACAGCCACTCGCGATCGCCGGCTGTGTGAGGCTATGTGGTGTCCGTCTACAGGCTTATGATTTCATTCAAGCAGAATGCCCAGAGAAAGCCATCGGGACCTACAGAGCCAAGTATAACGGATACTGGTCATCAAGAGCAGGGAAAACTATAGGTAGAAGCTGATTTTATTACTCTCTTCGTCATTTCATTCATTCAAAAAGATGACTCACCTTGGACTGGTTGCTACTAATTTGTTAGAGATGTTCAAAGGTAGTCCGACTCAGTTTTCAATGTTTTTGACAATTGTAACAGATATACTCGGCGTTTTGCATACTCTTTTCTGTTTAAACAGTTTGCACCTGGATCCGATGAGGGTGGATAGGGTGAATGATCACTTACCTTCTTTAGAAAACCCCTATCCTCTTCCAAAACACGATACTTAATCCAACACCGGTACAGCTACTTTTACCAGCACACATGTCTTGACTGCTAGCAATATTTGGAGCTGGTCAGACCGTGTTTTTACAACGCGGAGTACAATCTAGTAGAGTGATAGCTATGTGACCCATTGGTCATTACATATACTCAAACAGCGACCTATGCGCAGACAAGTTATTAAAAAATGAAATCAGGTAAGAGATCACTTCAATTAACGGATATATTCAATGCTCACCTTATTCCTCTTGCCAAGAAGCATCAGTTCGAGATTCAGCACTATCAAAATATACATAAACCTTACCTCACGTTTGCTAGGAGTGGTTTCCTTCAGCATTCACGTTACAAGGTGTTCAAGGGACTCCGGGGATGTATTTACTGTGTGATCTGCAGGCTCCTTGACATAGTAAGTGCGGTAGGGTGAAAATAGATGCAATTGTCCTCTTCAGGCTATTGCATCTGGCTGCTCATATAGTCTGAATGAATTGAGGAACTGAAAAGACACATATACTTAGTGCTACACTGACCGGTACAGGTGTTCCTACTAGTATGTCATCGAGATCAGGGGGGCGCCCTGGGTGTGAAATTGGTCTGCGTTGGGTGAAGGACAAAAGTACCACTTACCACCAATTATGCAAACCCTTGCACCCTTCAAAATAGCAAAAGACTAAACGGCGTATTTTCTGATCATTGTACTCAGGAGCGGTACAAACTACTTGCATGTAGAATATTTGGACTAGACAATTGAGCATCTTAGAAGAAAGTGTGAGGGGTATGGCTTCTATAATGAAAACCTGACCATCAGTCTGTGTATTCGCAGAAAAATTTTCTCGTATCCGTACGTACTCTTTTCGCATCCAGTACAAATCATGTTTACTGACTCGGGCGCGAACCAGGTTGTCATGCAATGCTTGTTCCAATTCGGAGATGATTCCTGACTAAATGGGGTTTGACCAAGAGCTTTCGGAAAGTTCAACGTTCACCATCAACAAGTTCCCTGCCCCCTCTATACCGATGCCACCCAGAACACTCGAATTGACGACATCGCAAATAAAGCAGTTTGTGAAGGTTTGTGAAGTTTGGCAAAACAAAAAAGGATCCTGCAGGAAGCAGTTCATGAATACCTGCCTTGAGTTTAAGATTGTTTCGTTACTGTGAGTTTCGTGACTTTAACCCATGTCATACCTCTGTCTTAATATGAGAAGGGACGTTGTGATGATCGTGCGACGTAAAGAGCTTGAAAAGAGCCTAATAATCACTGATCAGCCTAACAAGGAGTTAGTGGAACCGCTTTGCTGTCATGCCTCACCCCAAGTTCCTTAGCCCATAAGCTCTCTAGCATAGCTCCCGATCTCCTCAGACCCCTTCCATGAATCCCTGAGAACACTTCAAACGTCCCACAGACCTCCTTACCGCTAGAACCACCTCCGCAACCCTTAGCTCCCCTCCATTCAACCGAATCATTCCACGACACCCGTACATGCGTCCATCATTCCATCCTCATGTACTTAGAATCCCCATTAAGTGCTCGCTTCATACCATGTCTCCTTGTTAACTTCCCCATACGTATTTAATCAGTCCAGGAGCGTTCAGAAGCCCAGCTTGGTATATTTTGAACACACACCCTTTTGCATAGGTCCAGTCCCTGTCCCTTTGTACCTGCTAACCATACGGATTTCTCTTTACTCTCTGTTTCTCTACCTCTGTTTCTCTCTACTTCTGTCTATTGTCTCTCTGATCGTCCATACGATCGAATATACGCTTTCACTTCAAGTCTAAGCCTTCCGAGTGAGTCTCCGAGCTCCCTCGAACATTACTAAAGCTCCCCAACGCCTACCCGCTTGGTGAGTTACCCTTCCCCAAACCTCCCAGAGCTCCCTAGCTACTTCGTAAGCTTCGGGACCTCGATCTAGGTAACGTCGAAGCTACCCCTCACGTCGAACTACGTATTGCTTCTCCGTTACCACCTCCCACACTCGAGGACGACCATCCTCAAACCTAGTCCCCAGGGACCTACCCTCCCTGGCATATCCCTTCTCGGGAGCTTACACCCTCGAGACCCCGTTGCATAACCCACCTACTCGACTCTATATTGACGTTCTAGCGAGTACAACTCCTACTACGCAATATCTTACGGTCCCGCACTCGTCCTGAACCTCCCTACGCATTAGGGACCTCCCTGGACCTCCTAGGAACCCCTCAAGGGTCACCATCTCGTCGTTCCAACTACTACTAGGTCATTCCCGTCCTCGGTCGCGGTTCTCGTAGCTCCCTTCGAGCTCCAGCCTGCTCCTAGCACGCTACAACATAAACCTCCACATACCAAAACCTACCCTAAGACCTATTTTGACCCAGGTCTTACAGAGACAGCGAATTTCTCAGCCACTTCTCAAGGCCACGGAGTCACAGATTCAGCCCCAATTGGATCCAGCTGTGGCTGCAGAAGAGGCTCGGAGACGCAGTGTGCCTATCACATTCCATGGTTTCTTCCTCTTAATTGCAGCTGATCTTTCCCAGTGCAACCTTTCAATAAAATGGGCTATTTCCTTTGAAGTTCCGTCTGTATTGTCTTCACTTCTGGCCACAAACATCGAGATGCTAACTGAGAGGGATACAGGTCGCCAAAAACCCTTCTAATCCGGAATTCAAGCCAGGAAGAATGGTGGAGCCCGTACTTGCACCTCCAGGGTTTGATTTTCTCAGCCTAATTCGCGCCTGCCTTCCTCAATTGTGTGGCCCCATCGGGGAAGAAGACCTTGGCGTTGACAGGGACAACCCCGACCTTGGATCCTCTGGGGAACAAATACATGAGCACATTCCGCCTCTAATGGGACCGTTACGTGAGTGTGCTCCGACCCACAAACAAACCCATGACAATGTCCAGCGTCAAAGAAACAGGGAACGCCGATGGATAAATTGCCGCGCGGAATCAAATGCAGAGGTTCAAACTGCGGCTTCTTTTCCCTTAAGCATCCTTCCCATTATTGCCCCCACCCTTGTTTCCAAAGCTCCTCCCTTAGCTTCCCCCTCAACCTCCCCCCTATGCCCTTTGCCTTTGAGCTTGCGAAATTCAAAACGCACGGGAAAATGAAAACGCAAGGCTGAGAGGGAGCCGGTGCAAGCTGGGCCCTCAAAGCGGACAATAGCACATGTGCTGTCCGCCGGCACAGCCATAGAGGTTGATCTTGAGGCCCGAGATTTTGACGCTGCACATGGGGCTCATACTGCCAAACCGGGCACTCGGAAACAACGTGGGTCGGACGCCGATATCCAGAGGCGTTACTCTGTTGAAGACCTGGTTGCATTGGGGTTCCGTCACATACCATGGGATGGGTTGTATGTACTTGAATATTCTCCTTTCATTGTCCTTGGGCTTATTTGAGTGGTTTAGAACTCCATATCCCCTCATCGATCCCTTAGGCCGGGTTATCGGTGTTTTGGCTGGAACACCTGGTTCTGGCTATGCAGAAGATCTTCTCCGAGCTTCCGATCTGATTCTGCAGGAGGGTAAGCAGGCTGGGCTTGGTGCCGCTGCCCCCAACCCTCATTTACGCAGTTCATTCCCAGCTTATAACTGCGGCATTACTATGGGAATGGGAAGCCCTTGCCCAGTTGCTCTCAACCCAAAGGCTTTAACAGTTGTTCTTGCGCGACTTGTAGGGCATGAGACCGTCCTCCAAATGGCTATGTATCAAAACCGTAAGCAATTCGTTTTGCAATTAACATTTGCCCTTACCCTGAATTTCTAGGAGCTTTCTCTATTTGGGCTCCTCGTGTCTATGCAGTATATGAAGCAACTCAGACCAGAATGTATGAGGAGTTACCAACTCTTTCCCGAAACTTCCCAGGTAGTGTATTTTCCGCTGCTGCCTTCAATTTCGGGGGTAATGTGTGGACATATAAGCATAGAGACCATTTGAACTGGCCATTTGGGTGGTGTGCTATCACTGCACTAGGCCGGTTTGACCCAGCACGAAGTGCACAACTCATACTCTGGGAATTAAAGCTAGTTATTGATTTCCCTCATGCTGCTACTATTCTCATTCCTTCTGCTGTTATTACCCACTCAAATACCCCTGTTGCTGAAGGGGATATTTGAACGTCTTTTATGCAGTTTACAGCTGGTCCTATTTTCCGTTGGGTTGAGAATGGCTGTATGACAGAAAAGGAACTTCACATACAATACCCAGACTGGTGGGCTCGTATGGTGGAAGATAAGCACACAGTAATTGCTCGTCGCATACAGCTTTTTTCAACTATGGAGGAACTTCTAGAAATTGCTGAATAGCATAGTTCTGCTATTGGTTTTCTTGAACATAGTAAATGTTCCGGTTATGTATTAAAAAGGTTGTATCGATGCAAATGATGAATGGAAGTACGTAGTCTATTCTAAAAATTATATGCCATGTCATCCCGTTCCTCATCTTCAGTAAAGTTGAACTCATCAGCATTCATATGTAGGGTGCAGAGGTAAGCCTTCACTGAGGACGTTGCCTTGTCTATAATAGCATTCTCTACCTCTAAGGACCCACTTGACTCGACTCGATAGATGAAGTTCAGTACACATTGAGGAGGCATTCCATCGAAAGTCAGAGAATGGAGATATACCCCAAGCTTTGAAAGCAGGTACCTATCCTTGGGATCTGGGTGAAGGATCTTTCGGGCTACCTTTCCCCACCAGACAGCCACCCAGATTTGGAAACAACGCGTACTATGGTGCTCAGCACTACACTCTGCCGCAGGAGAGATAGATCCATCATCCTTGGGAATTGAATAGGCAAGGAGAATCCGCCTCGCATTCAAGGTCTCCCGAGCCAACATGATTTTTGACAGTACTGTAGTGTGAAGGCTTGCATTGAGCTCCGATGACAAGCCCAGAATGTTTTCGAGGGATGTAGTGATAAGTGCACCCACAGGAGGTCGAAGCCAGGAATCTTTGAGAAGGGGTATCTCCTGGCTGAGGGATATCTTTTGAATTGTACTCATTGGGGGGGTCGTAATTCTCCAGGTGGTTGATAGCCCACCGCAGTAATGACCGCATCATGAGAAAACGGGCAGACTGTAGTAGAGCTATGAGTTGAGGAAGTGATGGAGAAAAGGAACAGGGCTGCCATCTTCTATTGCTGTGCAAGTGAGTGAAGATATTGAGGGAGAAAATAGGTTGGTACGCACGCATGCTCCAGCCAGGCCAAGACCATCTCGAACTCCATAGCTGATAAGTTGGCAAGGTAAATGGGTTGGCCATCGTCATAAGTGCCTCCCCCAGTGACCATGCTGGTGATGAGCTCGGAATGATTCTTCAACACAGACAAAGGAAATTTGAACAGTGTTGTACCTGCCTAGTTTGCATTAATGTGGAAGAAAATAGAAGAAAATCAAAACAAAGCTTACACAAAAGCTGGGGTATGAGGGGCCACAAAGAGGGTCATAATATTTTGGATGTCAGACCCAGTCAGAGGCTATAGGACCTGGAGAATGAACGGAGCCAAGTGCTGAATATATAGTGCAATGCATTTAAATACGTCAAACCGGACCGAGAGTGGACCTGGGAGATCCGCTGCAAATATTGCTGATTGTCATTCCAATATACCCTTCTCTTCAGTTCAATGCTGCCAGACTATCTACCTCGACTTCCAACTCCTCTGACCACCACCAGTACCACTTCCTGGCCTGCAAATATCATCCATGCCCACCAGATTGTATCCGATATCTATTCTCATGCACTTCAGGCCTTGCACACAGATGCTGAGAAATCTCGCCTTCAGTTCACACTGTAGGGCATTGGTCAATGATGCATTTCCTCTTATTCTGGCCTTTGAGCTTGGAGATGAAGAATACCCTGTATTGAAAGAGTGGGTTTACAAAGTAGCTGAGATATTGATGGAGCTTTTACAACAAACACAAGAAGCCGAAGGACATCCATCGACGGGGTAAGTGTGATGTTACAGACTCAAGATATGTTTCTTATATACAGTTTTAGGGAATCAAATGTCCGGTTCATGAAGCCTGTTAATATCCAGCGAACAGGGAAGAGAGGTCGACCGCGGAAAGTACCTGATGAAAACCTACTAGAGGAAGCTTTTGCACCTAACCGAAATATAACCATTAGCCAACTTGCGAGCACTATTGGCATACATCGGAATACTCTATCCAAATATTTACAGGAATATGGGATTAGTCCCCGAGCCTACAGCAGTATATCTGATGCTGATCTCGACAGACTGATTAAAGAGTACCGCCGGCATAATCCACAATCAGGGGTCCGCTACCTAAGGGGCCGACTCAGGAAGAAGCATGGGCTTCGGCTTCAGAAGCGCAGAATCAAGGAATCAATTGACCGAGTTGATCCCCTTGGAAATATACTTCGGAATTATACTATGATTCCCCGCCGCGTATATCATGTCTCTCGTCCAAATGCACTCTGGCATCTGGATGGGCATCACAAGCTTATTAGATGGGGTTTTGTAATACATGGAATCATAGATGGCTACTCCCAAATGGTATGTCTATGCATTACTTACTGCCCTATTGAATTGTACTCATCAAGTGTTTCAAAATAGGTAGTAGGGCTACAAGCAAGCAACAACAGTTCTTGAGCTTTTCCTTACTGCAATAGAAAAATATGGTCTTCCATCACGTCTACGTGGTGATCGAGGTGGGGAAAATACAAAGGTTTCCATTTATATGATTATCGCTCGCGGCCTCCATCGTACAAACTTCATGTGGGGGACGTATGTGCCTATCTTCATATTTTCCTGTGTAATCTATACTGAGTAATTTGTTACCTTTGCTTAGATCTACGCGTAATAACCGCATTGAGTGATTATGGGTTGAAGTTGGGGCACAATTTGCATAGCAATGGAGGGCTTTTTTTCAGCGACTAGAACAGCTACATGGGCTTGATCATGGGGATCCTGCTCATCTATGGTTGCTGCATTATCTCTTCTTAGATGAGATTAATGAAGACTGTAATACATTCTGTGAAGATTGGAACTCACATCCAGTCTCTGGAGAGGGTCATGATCAAACACCTGAGGTAGGCACTTTTTATTATTATTTTAACTTGTTGGTCATATAACTTGCAATATTGTAGGACATGCACCTCATTGGTCACCTTGAGCATGGTGAGTATGAAGATGATTGCAATGGTCTTGACCCCACAATCATTGGACGATACTATGGGGTGGAAGATGAGGAGGATAATATTGAGCATAACTCATCAGACAGTGACAGTGGCTCAGATATAGATAACACAGATGGTGTTGAGGCTGAAGATATATCTACACATACCAGCTCAAGCTCTGATGAAACACAGAATTTGCCAGGTATATAAATTATATGATTTGCCTATATTTTTTTTCTTCATAACTCCCTTTCTAGATCGTATTCTAAAAGATGTTCAATCTCAATTTCATCATGCACCAGTATGGGTACCAAAGCATAAAAACCCGTTTTCCACCAAGTTGCAACGAAAAGTCTTCAATGACTGTTTAGTGGAAGTCTTGGAGAGTGATGCAGGGCTGCCTTCAGGGCTTGGCATAAGGCAGGATGAATGGGAAGAGGAAGGTTATCCCATATTTGAGACCCTTAAGTCAGGTAGGCGGGGCACAAAGGAACTGCAAATTCCCTTACCTCTGGAAGATTGGCTACCTAGGGCAGAGGTCTGGGTAAAAGCACTAACTCTTATGAATAACATTATGGCAGTAGATAACGCCTCTGAATAAAACTTGTAGGAGCAACCTTTAATATTATTGGATCTTAATTTGAAACTTAGTGTAACCGCATTTTCAGGCTCTATTATATATATATGAATGTCGAAGTTCCCCGCTGGTTCAAGATTCAACTTATAATATTCAGAGATCGCCGTAAACATTCTCTTTTTCTACCACCATATACCTTTTCTCTCTCTTAATTATGCCAAAGCGAAAGGAAGCTCCAAGCTCCGAATCATCTGGACAAGAGGAGGAGAGCAACAGCTCGAACTCTGATTCTGATATTCCCTCAGCTCGGAAACCATCTGCCTACAGCTCGTTGAAAGCATTGGCCTTGAGGAATCTTGCTTTAGGATCTGGAAAAGGCCAATCATCACTCCGTTCAGCAGCAGAGGCGGAATCAAATTTGGGCTACAAAAACCAAAAGAATCAGTCATCAAGTTCAGGCTCATCTTCCACTTCACATGTACCCACCAAGAAACGGAAACCCAGTTCCTCAAAAAGAGTTGTACTGGGTGGGGCCAGGTAATGAGACGCACAAGCGTATTTTGGTTATCATACATGATTACTTCATACATACAAGCTATGGGGACGTGATATGATGCCCACCTATCCAACGAACACGGTGATAGCGATTTGGTGATTTTAGGGTAGGTTATGACTGAGGAATGAATATTTTTCGGAAGAGGGGCATCAGGGAAACTGTCCCCTTGAAATATGAGACAATATCAAGAAAGTTTTGAAATATTTTGTAAACTAGTACTACATTTTCAAAATTCCGATATTTTCAAAATATAATGCAATTTGATTTATTTAGAATTTGTTTGATGAATCTCCAAACTATGTAGGAATAATATTTATAATTGGTACTAAAATTCACATAGTTAACTATAGAGGATGAATTAGTGGACAACTTCTTGAATTGTGGCTTCGACTTGGCTAGTACTGGCCATAAATGGTTGAACAATTCCTCTGCAATCATGTAATCAGTACTAATGTAGGTTGCCCGGAATCATATTTCTGGCCTCTTAAACAATATACTATGGTGACTACCGATTTAAATATGAAGTGACAGGGCTAGCCAAGCCTTTTAGAATTACAACTTTTGTAGAAGTACAAGTGTCAGCGACTGGTTCTAGTAACAGATGTCACCAGGCGTCACACTCAAGAAAACCTTAGAGGGCGGGGCGATAAAAGAAGCAAGCAGAGTTCTGGGCTAAACCAGGTAGAATAGACGAGATCAAAGCTAAGGAAATACAGCAAGTAGCTACAGCCTATATACTAGTGAACAACCCTCTGCCCTAGTAATGCCCAACACCCTGGGTTAGTGGTAAACATGAGTAGAACATAAGTAAAGTAGTGCGTAAGTAATGAAAGCTCGATCGCC